CAGGAACAGAGCATACTTTGTCCCTCTGGGGCACAGCTTTGGTGGTTGTTGAAGTTCAGTGATATCATTAAGCATTCCCAGAGTTGTTGGAATGGAAGGAAGACACAAAGAATCTGAACTAGAAGGCCACCAAAGAGACTTATTTCCATGTCTTTTATGACCACCACAACCCTATGCACATACTGCTTGAGATCACAACATTGGGTACCATGTTTCCTGAAGCAGAAAGAACTGGACAGCTGTTGTAATTGAGCAGAATTTCTGAACTGTTCTCTAAAGCTTTTCATTGTTCCCAAGGACGTAAGAGCATCTCAACAAATACTCTCTCCCATCACAAAAGAGGTCAATATCTAATTACACTTATTTTACCCAGGAAGACACTTAAACTACTACGTTCCTCATTTTGTTTAATCTTAACTTGCGCTCGTGCTACAGTTGGTGAATATTGCACAATGATTCATAATTTAACATTTAGGTACATAATTTCTATTAACTGACTTCTGAATTCATCCAAACTTTATATTAGCTTTCTTTGAAATGAATTGCAGTTTAAATATAGTAGAAAGAACATTAGATTTGGAGTCAGAAAACCCAAGTCCAAATCCCAAGTTTGCTACGTATTTCCCCTGTCATCATGAATATATCATTTAACTTCTCAGAGTTTCATCTCGGTTCCATCATAGGTAAAGCAAGGATAATCCTATTGCCCTCCTGTGCTCCATAAGATTGCTGTGAAAATCAAAAGCACTGATGTATGTTAAAGCCCCCAGTAACAGAAGTGTTTTACAAGAGTGAGATATGTTCATATTTTTATCTTATACCTAAGACACACAAGCAATCCTTCCAGACATCCGACGTGTCCTCTCCTCTCCATCCAGCATGTCATCGTATTAGCTCTATTATAAGCTTCTGGTTCTACAGATGGAAATTGTCCATGAGTCAGATTGTCTGATCCTGGTAGAGACTGTCAGCTATTGCTGCCCCTTCAAAGCCTTAGTCATAATCTATTCTAACAATAATAACACAATAATAGTCTAACAATCTGAGAGGACAGAAATAATTTTCTCAAAGATCCAATCTTAATCCCAAATGGAGTGAAATAAGACTGTTTTCCAGCTCCCTTCTTTCTCCGTGTCTAAATAATTTGATGTAGCTTTTAGATGGATTAGAGACATGACTTACTGTGAACATTTTTTTCTCCAAAAAAATGGATCATCCATAAGAATAACTCAAAAATAATGCTGGAATCAAAAATCATGATTTGGGGCAAACCATCTTCATTGTTCAAATTAAAGATATTAAATAACTCTACCCTAGAGGATAGTTTAGTTCCTTTGTGGTAGATTGCATAGCTAATTCCCAGTATAGGGAGGCAGGGGTACTCGAGATCAACTGTTCCACAGGAATCATGGCAAGGTTCTTCCATGGTCAGGCTGATCAACTGGCAATACCAGCCCCTTTGATGTTCTCCAGGCCCCAGTCATCTTGTCCGTGATTTATGGCGTGGAACAGTGGGGTTTAAACCAAGGCAGATCCAAAACTGTACATCAGGAAAGTGTGGCCCAAGCCAAGCTTCATGCTGGGGTGAGAATGGCTTTCTCAACAAGGAAGTATTCAGCTAGGGCTCCTTAGCCTTCACAAAGAAATGTCAGCCTTGCTACCTGTGTATCTAGTGTCTGATGAATTAGGATATCCCTTCAATCAGCAGTAGAAGCTCTGCCTTCCAGGCACTTGCCAAAGAATACAGGCTTGAAATCTTCTCAGTGTTGCTAGAAGCCCATGAAAACAAAGACTATTTCAAAAAAGAATCGCTTGAAGTCCCTTACATAGAGATCAACACAATATATTCCTTTTCGAATTTAGTACCAAGAGCTAGTCTGTTCCACCTAATTATTTTATTAGGCAAAGAGAAGTATAAAACACATCTATGGGCTTCCCTGGTGGCGCAGTGGTTGAGAGTCCGCCTGCCGATGCAGGGGACACGGGTTCGTGTCCCGGTCCGGGAGGATCCCACATGCCGTGGAGCGGCTAGGCCCACGAGCCATGGCCGCTGAGCCTACGCGTCCGGAGCCTGTGCTCCGCAACGGGAGAGGCCACAACAGTGAGAGGCCCGCGTACCACACACACAAAAAAACAAACACATCTATATCTTGGCATAGTGGTAATTAAAGGTATATTTAGTACTGAATTATAAAACTTAGCCTACAATTTTAATTTCACTCCCCCTTCTCACTCTGTGGTGTTTAGTTTTCATTCATATATTCCTAGTGTGTGTAAATGTACACACATACACACACACACACATCATCATCATCCATGTAAGTGGTTTGGGGAAGTAGATAAAAAATAAATTATAAATACATGGATCTTACAATTCCAGAACTTTCCTATACACGCGTAGCAAGGCGTGAAAACCTAAGAATAATGTATACATTATTTGGGTTAAAAATATCCTCAGTATCTCCTGGAAGCAAACCCTGAACCCTAACTTGACTAATTTCCACTCATTACTCAAGAATCATCTCTAGAGTTATCATCTCCAGGAAGCTTTTCCACTCGCCAGAACTCTAGCCATAGTTGGAGCCCCTGCCCTGTAGCCAAGGAGTCTGTCATGACCCTGACCATTCCCTGCTGTAACCTGTGAGTTTCCTGAGACCAGACACTATATCTTATCTCTGAAGCCCCAGCACCTAGCATAGGGCCTGGCATATAATAATGACATTAAAAATGTTTATTGAATAAATACAAAAATACTTATACCACTTCTCTTAACAGTAGGAAGCAACTTTGCAAAGATGATAGAGACAAAAATACAGTTTTAAAACTTAAATTATTAAATCATACACTGAAATAAACGAGCTCTTTTATATGTTGTTCAAACATCAATCTCAATCTTGTTTATTTGAAAAAGGATAATTGGCATGATTATTAAGCCATTAAGATTGTAAAGATTATTATTACACTCAGAATATTTTTAAACTGATGCTGTCATCATACACATCTGTATTAGTAAAAGACACAGGTAAGGCCACTCTAAGTAGAAAAAAATGCATTTTTAAACATGATTATTATCCTTTCAATTTAGAAAATATTATAAAAATTAAACCTTCTGCAGAAACCAAATGAAAATGTTCATGCTGGATTCTTTGAGACAAACTGAATCTCGCCTCACTGAGAGTTTTAAGATGTATAATCTTGGCCAAATGTAGTCTAAACTCCAATGTAGAATTACCCAAGGGATCTTAATATTAACCAGAAAATCACAAGAATTTTTGATCATTAAGAAAACACATACAAGCAGAAGAGCCAGTGGGCTGTGGAAGAAAAGGGAGATGGGTAACAGAACAAGATGAGATGCTAAGATTCTATTCATTTTCCCAAGCGTTCGATGTTAGCTATTCACAGTAGCCCAGACATGGGCGCCACCGCATTGTCCACTGATGGGTAAATGAATAAAGAAAATGTGGTCTCTACACACAATAAAATATTATTCAGCCTTAAAAAAGGAAAGCCTGCCGTTTGCAACAACACAGATTAACCTAGAGCACGTTATGTTAAGTGAAATAAGTCAGTCACAGAAGGACAAACAGTACGTGATATCACCTTTTGTGAAATCTAAAATAGTCAAATGCATAGAAGCAGAATGGTGGTTACCAGGGGCCAGAGGGAGGGGAGAGGGGAAGGTACTAGTCAAAGGGTACAGAGTTCCAGTTACACAAGATAAACAAGCTCTACTGTGTACAGTACATAGAGCCCATTGTTAACAATACTGTATTGTATACTTAAATGTTTGCTAAGAGGGTAGATCTTATGTTGTGTTCTTATCACATAATAATAGTAAATAAAGAGGATGAGGTGGGAGGAAACCTTTAGAGGTGATCTGTATGTGTACAGCATAGCTTGCAGTCATGGTTCATGGATGTATATCTCCAAACTCATCAAGTTATTAAAAAAAAAAAAAGACACTTCAACAGACACAAACACATAAATATGCATACACAAAAGCATGCCTTTTGTCTCCCAGTCTAGGAAAGTCCATGCTGCCCAGTTTTGTGATCTAGTTTCTAGTCTCACAACTACAGCGTTCCTGAAGTTCAAGTCCACCTCATAAGAGAAAGAGAACAGATGGAGATTTGTCTGCCATCTTCGTTGCTAGTTTGTTATTGATGTGTCTGCCAGATGTGCCCACCTCAATCCAGGGATTAGAGGGGACTTAGACCCATCCTACCCATGGAGTCAGAGCTCGGGTGTGGGTGAGGGTGAGGGGTGGCAGAGAACCGTCACTTACCGAGAGAAAGGGAGGCGGTGGCAGGAGCTGGATCCCGTGAAGCCCGTGGGCAGTGGCGCATCAAAATGCCCCCTAGAGCAGCTCACTGCCCGCAGCGCTCAGGGCCAAATTACCTACATATTTAGAGATCTTGTATAAATCCACACAGCCTTTGGTACACGTAACTACGTCTCTTCCAAGTGTGAGGACAGAGAAGCTTTGATGCGACAGCTTTAGCTGAACTGAGTTTCTGGAAAAGAAGACCTAAAAGCTGAAGAGGAGACGTTATTGGCACAGGAGTTTGTCCTTCAGAATTTGAACTCTTATCCCCAAGATAAAACAGGGGAAACATCACGTCCCTCACACCTTCTGGCTCCGAAAATGCTGCTTTTTCTCTTTTCTCTCTTGCTACACCTGCTTGCCTCTCTCTTACCCTCCTCAGACATCACCACCACCACATACACATACGTTTTACAAAAAAGTTAATAATCTTTATTAGTCCATTGAAGGTCTCCTCAAATTGCCACAGGCCTTCCTTTAATCTCCCCCGGGATCAACAGTGTACAGCTGCCTGAGAAAAGTCCATGCAAGTTGGGAGAAAAGTAGGAGGGGGTCATGCTGTGTGTGTACATTTGTGTGCATGTATGCTTATGTGCACATATGTGTGCGTATGTGTGCACATGTGTGCATGTGTTGGGCGGGGTGTAATCAGAAAGGAGAGAGAAGGGGGGATCAAGAGAAAGGGACTGCCTCTATGTCTAAAGAATTCTTGACCAAAAGGAAACAGACCCTTCAGTAACCCATCCACCCATCAACCACAACAAAAACAAAGGACAGCACAATTAGGGAAGGGGGGATGCCTTTTTATCTTAAAGGAGGGAGAGAGACCAAAAGCAAGCAAGCGAAGAAAATAGACCTCTACCTCATTTTTTTTTTAAACCAAATCCAAAATGTACTGCTTATAGCTTTGGCAGTTTACAATGGCAATTAACATCAATCCTAGGGTCTAATTAACCTCAATCAACAAGTCTAAGTAGGTTAATTAAATAGTATTTGGCTAAGCATGAAGCAGAAAAATACAGCTGTCTCATTTAAATATGATTTACGAAGGAAAGTCACCCCTTACCAAAGTTTTCCAATTTCGTTTTGGGCAGCAAAGCATATTGGAGGGTGGGGTGGAGTGCAGGTGTCAACCAGAACATCTCTCGTGGTCTGCCTCTTCTCAGGTTTCCTTGGTCCAAGCCAGTGGCAAGTAACTCCAATATTCCTTCCAGGTTATCTGCCTTGATCTCAATCTAATCTTCCCATGGAAACCTGGACTCATCCCTTTGTTGTTTATTTTGCTCCTACCTACCCACCCCCACTCCCTTGTAAATTCCTTCAGGGCACAGAGCCTATTTGATTCATCCTCATCTCCTTAAAGTCATCGAGCCAAGTGCCCAATTAATCGCGCTTTTAATTGGATTTTCATCAAAATGTACTTTTTTCTCACCACACCCCCAATCATAATTTGGATTCCTGGGCTTTAGGATAAAAGAGTCTGGATCCTGTGCGCGTGGGAGGGTGGCACTGCATGCTGCAGGGGCCTCTCTGGTCCTGTCCTCAGTGCCTCGTTTACTTCCCCACGATTGTTCTACCACTGTCGTTCACCATGGAATCAATGAGGCCGATTTGGTCAATGGTGGCGTCAAAAGTTCTGAATGTTCGACTTTCAAAACAGCTCAATCAATATCCACTTTAGGAGTTCCGTGAACCGCGCCCACTGGTACTGCTTTGCAAGGTCAAACGGGCCAATTCTGATCCTGTGTTGGTTCTGTCATTACTGAGTGTTTACTGCTTCGTGTGTCTAGATGAATACATAATATTTTTTATTATTAAAAGCATTTCAAGTTGCAGAGGCACAGCGGTCTTCTCAATCTCAGATCCAAAAAAAAGACCTATCTGTTAGCTGACACTCTAAAAGCAAACATAAGATCGTTCCTGGCCCTGAACACTGAGATCACAGAAGGGACCTCAGGAGTCACCCTGCTCCGCCCCCTCATTTGACAGACGGAGAATAACCGAGCGGGCCAGGCCACGCCCCCGGGGAAACTGACCAGCCCTGAGCCTGTTCTCTGCCCCTCTGCTGCTCTGGCTGCTGGGGAGCAGCTGTCACTCCATCAGAAATGAGAGCGCGGTGTCCCCCAGGCTTGCCACAGCTCCGCTGGAGACAAAGAACTGCAGAATCCAGGTGAGTTATCAGGTGTTCACCAGGGATGTGGTGGTGTCTGCGCCCACGGGAGAGACGGAGGGTGCCACCACGGATGGGTTCCCGTGTGGGACCAGGAACCGTGCCAGACACGTATAACCACAGTTATCTTAATGAATCACCTGGATGCTTATTTGTAGGTTTGAGAACTGAGGCTCAAGATTTTTTTTTCAAACCCAGGTCTCCGAATCCTTCCCGTTTAACACCAGTTGAGCTAGAAAACCAGGCAAGTTAGATCAAAGATGACATGGGCAATCCTGTCTGACACGGGAGCTGACTAACTCAGATGGACCCAGTTATCCCAATTACACCTGCCCCTCTCTCTCTCTCCAGTCTCTTGCCGTCCACTGTCTGGTAAACATGCACACTTGCTTTCTTGTTTGTTTTGAGCCCTGCCTAAAACTGTTCTCATCACGTGGTCCTTAAACTACTCTTTCTCTAAACTCCGAGTGCCTGTTTTAGGTGGCTTCATTCTCTGGTCACTTGGGCAGGAAGCTCGGAGTCCACACTGGCTGCAGCCCTTGCACGTGATTCTGTCTACCCCACCCTCTGCAAGGCCCTTCGACATTCCTCCACCACTGCCCTGGTTAAGGCAGGTCAAGCATCTCCTCCCCCAGATCCAGTCTCTCCATTGAGACCAGTTATTAACCTTTTTCTTTCTTTCTTTTCTTTTTTTGCCTACACCCACAGCATGCAGGATCTTAGTTCCCCCGCCAGGGGTGGAACCTGCACCTCTTGCAGTGGAAGCACAGAGTCTTAATGGCTGAATCACCAGGGAAGTCCCTGGTCACTCATCTTAAAGACAGCTTTCAACTCAAATATTACATTCTAGGAGGGTGCAGTCCAACAGAACCTTCGGTGATGATGGAATGTTCTATAGCTGCTCTGTCCAATATGGTAGCCACTGGCCACATGCTACTGCTGAGCACTTAAAGTGTGGCTGGTGTGACTGAGGAACTGAATTCTTTTGCTATTTCATCTTATTTTATTTTAATGGATTTAAATTTAAATAACCACATGTGGCTAGTGGCTACCTTATTGGAGAGTGCAGTTCTGGGCAAATTCATCTCCCCACTGTCCCTAGACTAAGATTCGTTATTTCCCTAGCCTCACATATCCGTAAAAGCAGGAACAGGGCCCATTTTGTTTACTGCTGCATCCCCAGTGCCTAGATAAAGGCTTGACATGTGACAGGTTCCCAAGAAACATCTTTTTTTTTTTTTTTTTGCGCAGTACGCGGGCCTCTCACTGTTGTGGCCTCCCCCATTGTGGAGCACAGACTCTGGACACGCAGGCTCAGAGGCCATGGCTCACGGGCCCAGCTGCTCCGAGGCACGTGGGATCTTCCCAGACCGGGGCACGAACCCGTGTCCCCTCCATCGGCAGGTGGACTCTCAACCACTGCGCCACCAGGGAAGCCCTAAGAAACATCTTTTAATGAACACATTTGTCTCTTCCACCTGTCTCTTTCTTATTGTTCAAGCTTTGCTAACATTTATATTTTTCCCAAAAAATCAATAGCACGTGTTATTGTGTATTCTGGCATATGACATATAGTACAATTTGTATTTTTAAATGGATTCTCATGTGATTTGCTTTAGTTTCTTGAAGGAAGAGACCAGGTCATATGGCTTTTGGATCCCACAGCACCAAATACTGGACACCACATGTAGCTGGCGATCCGTCACTATTGGTTCAATGGACAGACTGTTTCTCCAACTCAGGCCTCCCACCAAGGTCTCAGGGCACTAGCACATCTCTTTCTTCTCAGCTCAGCTCTGACCGGCCTAATACCCTGCTCCCGTGGAAACTGGAGAGATTCTCCCAGTGTCTCACTTCTCAGACCATAAAATTGAACCTCAGCTGGTATCAATTCAGCAGTGGTTTCTCACTCATAGCAGCCAAAGATGCTCTTGGCTGCTTTGTCCTGACACCCAAGAAAAATCAGAATGGTGTATGGAGGAGACCCATGGAGTAGCTTGTACAAGGGCAATGTCCCCTCTCTTATTAATTGTATGACCCCAACTGGATTTCCTCAGCTGCAGAATCAACATCGTCAGAGTTGCCACAGCGAATCCCTTAGGCTATTGTGAGCTAATAGATGTGAAAGTGTTTTGTAAAATGTAAAACCCTAGACAAATGCAAATTGTTTAAGTCAGCACATACTTGAGTCACTGAGATTTTAGGTAAATTATCGATGCAAAATATTTAGGTCATTTAAGTCAGCACATACTTGAGTCACTGAGATTTTAGGTAAATTATCGATGCAAAATATTTAGGTCATTCATTCAAGGAATATTTACCAAGCAAAAGCACTGCGCCAGACACTAAGGAGGCAACAGTGAATAGGAGCCACACACACGGTTCTGTGCTCAAAGAGTGTCATTCCAGGGTTAGGGACAAGCTTAGACAACAAACATGATCAATTATATACTGTTGCGACATTAACGGAAACGCAAGGTGTTACATGCATTTGTGAGTGTAGGAGGGATTAACTAGGTGACCCTGGATGGAGAAGAGCACTTCAAGCAGAGAGGACAGAAGCTGCAAAACCATGTGGGATGAAAGGCGTGCACACCTGAATCAATGAAAGACCAGTCAGGACCCTTGGGAGCAAGAGTGGTGGTTCCAGGTTAGGGAGGCGAGAGACGAGGCTGGAGAGGTAGGCAGGGGCCAGATCAGGTTGGGCCCGTAGGCTGGTGGTTTTATCCCAAGAGCAAGGGAAACCATGGAAGAGTTTTAGGAAGGTGAGTGATACACTACTGTATATAAAATAGGTAAAGAACAAGGACCTACTGTATAGCACAGGGAACGATATTCAATATCTTGTAATAAACCATAATGAAAAGAGTATGAAAAAGAAATATATATATATATATGTATAAACTGAATCACTTTGCTCTACACCTGAAACTAATATAACATTGTAAATTAACCATACTTCAATAAAAAAAAATCCTACCATCTAAAAAAAAAAAAAAAGAACGTGGGTGATATAAGCAGATTTGCCTTCTGGGAGATCCCTCTGGGAGCACCATGGAGAATAAACTAGAAGAAAGCAAGAGTAAACACAGGCAGAACAGCTGGGAGATTCTCAGAGGAAAAAAAAATTCTTGCAGTAAACCAGCAAGAGATGGTCTTAATTCAACCTATGGTATTAGCAGAGAAAATAGAAGTAAATGTTCAAATTCAAGAAATATTTAAGGAGTAAAATCCTGACTGTTTGATTGATTGGCTACAAGTGAAAGTGAAAGAAATAATAATAATAATCATAGGAAAACATTGTAACATAATACGTACCACAAGCCAAGCATTAGTTGTGTGGAAAATAAATTTGAAGAAATCTACTAGATATTGAACAGAAAAAGAACATACCATAAATATTTACTGAGCACCTCCCATGCTCCAGGCACTGTTCCAAGGCATTGGGAACAAAAAGTAAACAAAAATCTCCGCCCTCAAAGAACTTACATTCTCCATAAGGAAATGAAGTATATAAAGAAAAAATAAGGTTTGAATCCAGTGACCAAACTCCCAAGAAATATCAGTTCCAGAAAGAGTAAACAGAAAGAAAAAAAGAGATGGAATGAAATTGTCATAGAAGTAATATTACAAGAAAATTTGCAGAACCAAAGGATATAATTTTTCAGATGAAAGGCACTAAATTAATGTCCAGCACAACAAAAGACAAAAGGTACACATTATAATGACAGGTCAAAAAATCAAAGACAGAAATTCCTAAACCTTCTAGAGCTAAACAATAGGTTAATTCAAAGAAAGAGAATCAGAATTCTCAATAGAAATAATGAATGCTGGTTTAATGCCTAGAATATTTTGGAGAAAATTATTTTTCACCTAGGTACCTATAACCAAATTACCATTCTATTGTGAGAACAGAATAAAGGTGTTCTCAGATATTCAAGGACTAAAAAAAAATTAATCTCCACAAACTCTTCCATACATTTCTACTGGAGGAATCAAAAATAAGAAATCCAAAAAATAGGAGTTTCTAAAACAAGTTCAAGGCTGATGGTAGTACAGGATGGCTGAATAACAACCAGTCTAAATTGAAGCATGAAGGCGCAGGGTCCAGGAATGTAATTGTTAATGTTGTAACACCGACCTTGAATGAGAGTGAAACTCCAGAGAACAAAGCCATAAATCTCCAGCAATAATTCATATGGCACATCAAAAGCCCAGACTTGCTCTGAGGAAGACATTCCCACTAAAAATTATGTCTTGTATAACAACCTTGAAATTATCTGCCCGACTAATGACGCTCCATCTACAACAAAGAACTCTGCAGTGCTAAAAAGAGCACGGTAGATCCCCATGTATTGATGTGGAACAATCTCTAGGTATATTGGTAAGTGAAAAAAAGCAAGGCGTAGGACTTTCTTTTCAGCAGGCCAACATTTATGTCATAAAAGTGAACTGGTGCGTTGAGACATATGGTTGTATCCACAGAGAATATCTCTGAAGAAAATGCAAGAAACAGAGTAGTTCTCTGAGGAGGGGTCCGGGACCTGGGAGACAGGAATAGATGAAAGACTTTGTTTCACTGAATTTTTTACCATGCACTTGTATTACCTAATCAAAAGTTGTTTAATTAAATTGTTAAACAACATTAATATCTGCTTTATTTAAACAGAGTGCGAGAGGCTGGGAGGATTATAGCCTTAGAGCTTCCTATCATAAGCCCTCAGAATTTTTTTAATTTCTCCTGTACCTCAGAATTATCCACAAAATTCCATCTATTTTATCCAAGTCATTTTCTGTTTAGTCACTAGAAATTTTGTTTCCATAACTATTTATACACATAATGAACTTAAAAGTGCAACTTTAAACTCATCATTTTCACACCAGTACTAACTGGTACATTTTCTCAGTCTCCAGTAATATGACCTGAATGTAAAGAAACATCTTTGTACTTACTTTTGGTTGCCAAAATGTATTCATCCCTAATTTTTCAAAACATTTGCATGAGTTGGTTTATTACTATCCACATTAGAAAATAAAAAATAATACGTTGGACAATAAGTCTCTCTCCTACTAAAATGAAGTCAGGACAATGAAATACCTAAATGGAATTTAGAAATTTGGTTTTCTGTCAGTACTTTAAAGTGCACAGCCTTGAAAATGAGCCAAACTTTCCAAATGTCAGGCACCTGGCAAGTGGGCATTAAGCATCCTCTCTATACAGAACACAGCGTAGGAAGCCCATGAGGAAAATGTTAGAAGCGTGCACGGTTCCACCTTCCCTAGGAAAAACATCTACTGGGAGATGTGAGACACATGTACCCTTGGAAATAATCATGTGGAATAGAGTTCCACTCAATTAGTTTCAAGTGAATAATATGCTCAAAAAGTGTAGAGAACTAAAAATTTGCTGGCTGGGAAGCTTAGAAAAGGTTTTGTTGAAGAGGTAGATTTAAGCCAATATTAAAGGGTAGGTAGATATGACTTTTTATAAAATATATGATCCAAGTATTCAAGATAATTCAAATAGGAAATAGTTTACACAAGTTTATCTTGACCATGTTATTGCACCCACCTTGAAGGTCAAATCAGATCAATCACCATCATTCGTGGAACTAGATCAATCACCATCATTCATCAAATTAATCACCATCAATCATCAATTCTTAGCAAGGAATTGGGAAGGCAGCCCTCTCTTCCCCTTTATCCATCGCTTTTCCCCTCCCTGCCCTCACTCCCTTTCCTATTCTTCTCTCTATCCCTCACCCAATCCAGCAAATAAACGAGTCAACTGCAAAGTTGTTAAAAAAGAAATAACAGAAATATTCAAGGAAGCTGTCCTTACACACCCTGTTACACGTCTGGCATGGACACAGAGTCAGGGCTTCTGCACCTCATTCAGCAGTGGGATTTTTCACCCTGAATTTCACATGGAGACGGCAATTTGAGTTCTTCCAAGTTCACCATGGAGATAAGGACCTGAGGAAAGGGCCTTCCCTTCACTTGCTGACAAATGTTTTAAGAACTCCCTGCTTCCTGTAGGGACCTGCCTTGGGCAGTCCATACCAGCCTCCCATGCCCCCAAAGCTGGCCCGACGTTGAAGCACGTAGATGTCACCTGTCAAACTTCCTGTGGCTCCCAGTCCAAGGGCCCGATTAAGAGAAAGCCTTGAGGGGCGTCAAAGGTGCTGGGGTGCCAGCAGGACATACATATCCCTCAACCCTTGCAAAACTGTTGTCCTTTCCTTATCGCTGTAGTCCTGCTTCCTGCTGTCCCAGGATGAATGCTCTTTAGTTAAACAGATTCGTTCTAAATCCCATTGCAGCTGTGCTACATCAGGTCTCAGGGCATTTCTGGCCCCAACTCAATCACATCACCTCACCAGCTGATACCCACGATTCATGTGTTGTTAGAGCTTTCTAGGAGGGCACGTGGCCCCTTGTTGAAGGGAAGTTTTTAGTCCAGAAACTTCTGGGTGTTCTTTTATCCTGCCTTTGCTTATGTATAACGCGTCTTTGGCTAAATGCTGAAAATGTTTTGTCCAGAATCGCATCAGCTACTTGTAACAGTTCTCAAACCAGCAGTCTTTGGTTGTTTCAACACTGACACCACTTTGTTATTGATCCGGGCACAAGGGGTGACAGGGAACAGGGATGATATCAGATTGAGCGAGAAATGCTGGGATTGTGCCCTGCCCATCCCCGCTTCTATGGTCAGATCCCCAGAGAAATGCTCTCACGTGGAATCTAGAGACTGGCGTGCTCCTTTTGCACCATCTGGGCTTGAAACGCCCACCCCGAGGCTGGGACACTCTGCTGATCTAGGCTTGGGCTTCAAGCAGAGCCTCTCCTTTCTCCTCCAAATCCCAATCTTGCCATCAGGAAGTGACTGACCACAGCTACAAGCGGCATTCCCAGACACCCAAGCCCACACTCGGGAAGCAAGAGCAAGTTGGATGTGCAAAGAGGGGCCGAGCCTGGTGACCTCGAGCAAAGAGAAGGTGGCAGGAGTGTCTATGCCCTTTTAAGCATGGTGACCTTGTCTACTCGTCAAGTAGCCAACCAGGGTCTTGGAATGTGACCAGTTAATTAGTGACCCCTGCAGATGGGAAGGGCGGGTGGGGATGGGAGAGGAGAAAGACTCAGAACTTTCCTCTCCTTCCTATGATTCGCAACTACCTACCTTACAATAGGTGGCATGATGTGTAATAGTTCCTCCCCAAGAAAACACAAGCTTCTTGAGAGCAGCAGGCAACAAATGTTCCCTGAATTTCTTTGAATCCAACCTCTGGGGGCACCAGCACAGGCCTGGCTATGAAAGCACACACTTACAAATCAGATTTCTTGAGCACCCCTTCTTCGTGTCCAGGTTTCCTGTGGTAATTCTACCAGGATGGTCTTGAGCTGAAGGAGACTTCCTAAACGCAAGTTGGTACCCGACAACTGTCTTCACCAAGCCATAAACCATCTGGTGTGCAGGGGATCCGGCACGGGAATCTCCTGTTACCTTCAAGGAACAAATGTATACAAGAAAAATGTAATGGCCAACCATTTTAGATATTCTTGTGTTTAAAAATTACAACAATAAAACCATATGAAGACAAGGAAGCAACCATCGAGCTGCCCAAAATGATCACAAGCGTACATTTATTTAGCTGTTGTGGAGAGATGGCTCATTCGTGGGCAAAGAGCTGTGTGCTAGTTGTGACTCACCCACTAACTAGCTATTTGATCTCAGCAACTTGGTCCACTTAGGCCTCCATCTCTTCATCTGTAAATGAAGAGGTACAAAGTCTGAGGTCACTTTCCACCTCATGAATTTACTAATTTTGGAAACATTCAACACTTAGCTAAAAGTGTGATAAAATAGTTTACTTTGTGCATTTCAACATTTCGAAATGTAAACATCTCTTTCCGGTGAATAGTCCTGCCTACCAGGACCAAACAGCCTCATTTTACTCATATAAAGACATTCAAAGTCTACACAGAACAGTCTTATAATTTCCATTTAGTTTCTTTTCCTTTTTAGAAAGCAAATACTAACAGCCATAAAAGGAGAAATCGACATCTTTTGTTTCCTTAAACATGTCATCCATAGCTATTTTATAGTTCTGTCTGATATTCTAATATCTGGAGTTCTTGGTGGTCTAAATTTGTTATTTATTGTTTGTGTGAAATCTCGTTCTTTTCTCTTATCTACATGGTTTTGGTGATCTTTGATTGTAAGCGGACAGTTGGTTGATATTCATCTGTTTAAAATCTGTGACTCAAGCTGAGGATGCTTCCTCCAGATATAATTTTTTTTCACGTCTTCCAGAAACCTGGGACTGCTGCAAACCTGTAACCACTTTTTTTTTTTTTTTTTTTGCGGTACGCGGGCCTCTCACTGTTGTGGCCTCTCCCGTTGCGGAGCACAGGCTCCGGACGCGCAGGCTCAGCGGCCATGGCTCTGCGGCATGTGGGATCTTCCCGGACCGGGGCACGAACCCGCGTCCCCTGCATTGGCAGGCGGACTCTAAACCACTGCGCCACCAGGGAAGCCCCCTGCAACCAGTTTTAACCCACATTTGGAGCCTGCGGAGTCCTGGGCTCACTCCTCTCCCCCCTCCTCCATCTCGCTGCTGACCTAACAGCTTAGTTTCTGGATTGCAGAGCTGATGCTGTAATTTCATTTGCCTCCTATGCAACTCTACCTTCTCAGAGGCATGAGATTTCATTGTTTTTGTTTTCTCCTTCGGAAAGTTCTCTATTTGCTGTGATGGAAGCAATATAGTAAAAATTGTGTTTTATGTAGAAAGGAAGGAAGGGAGGGAGGGAGGGAGGGTGAGAGGGAGGGAGGAAGGAAGGAAGGAAAGAAGAAATGAAAATACCTAGTGGTGGGAAACACTGATAATGTGATACTGACATCAATGCCAATAACAGCACTATGAGTCCGACTGTGACCTTAAGTCTCCCCCAAGCCACGTCGGCTGCTCATTGGAGAACAGAAGAAGCGTCACCTGCTTCACACAGGGATGGAAATTCACAGAAATTTACACATATGAACTTCTGCAGTTCTACTGTTGGTGAGGTTATTTAATATATTTAATCACTATATTAATTTAACAGAAGTTGCATTTGACACATATGCTTGTGAACCATGTTATTAGAGAGCTTGGTTTGGGTAAGAGGTGGAAATGAACTTTCTAAGTGTTATACCAACAAAGAGTAAGTCATGATGTTTTCTCCTAAAGGACTGTACGTTAACAGGTTTCATCCACTACAAAAGTATTTGGCTTCTGTCTAAAATAGTTACCTGATTATTTTTAAACTATTTAGTCTGCCTCAAACACCCTCCAACCACATCTTCCAGTGGCAAGCAAGGTCCTTGGGGGGGTGAGTCACAACCTTTGCTTGGAGCTGTTTCCTTCTGTTGGAGCCATTGCCTTTGACATCCCTGACATATCTCCATCATTGCTGCAGGGAGCAATCATGAAATGCCATCCAAAGAGACTTGGGGATGTGCAGAGTGACAGCAGGGGCAGCAAACGTTGTCACACAGGCCCGGAAAGGCAACACATCTGCAGAAGTGGAGGAATTTCAGCAACTCCTGGCTTTTTACTGGTGCGCCTGCCATGACTTAGAGGGACAGACGTTATTAGTAATTGTTCTCTCCGCGGCTCTGCTCCTTCAGGCCACAGTAATGGTGGAGAATGATTGAAATTTTACTTGTGCAGCAAACTGTGGGGAAGGCAAGTAGGTGGGAGAAACTGGCTGCACCCACAGTCTACGCATTCCCGGCAGCATGGGACCACCTGGGGATGTGCAGTCAAAGAGGGCCGGGGACAGGGTGGGAGTTGGTCACCTCTGATGCAACGTCAGGACAAGTGATTAGAGAATAAGAAGAAAATTCGAGGTTTCAGTGAGGTGGGCCTTAGGAAATGGCTGGGAGCCCTCCCCGATGAGACCCACAGGACAGTCACCCACGTGACCTGGATGCCTCTTGAGATCCCAATTCTAAGAAAACGAACACAGAGCTCATTTTCTATAACGATGTAAAGCATAGTATATTGGGGACAACGAGAGCTTTGGGCATTAAGAGAGGCCTGGGTTCAGATCTTCCCTCCAAGCTTTTGCGAACCCAAACAAGCCTCCCCAGCTCTGGGTCTCCGTTTCCTTTTCTGTAAAATGATGGTCCCAGTTCCTACCCTTCAGGCCTGACGGGCCCTGGGAGACAAGGCACAAGGCCATATTGCCATCAGGGGCAGAGGACAGGAAAGGCCTGGTGAGAATGGCAGATTAGCCTCAGAAGCTAGCCTTTTAGATGTGACGAGTGAGCCCAGAGCCTGGTGGACACGGAGACCTTCCCCAAGGCCGGTGGCTCTGACATCCTCTCCCACCAACCACCACCATTCAAAGTGCCATCTGCCCTCATCCTGCACAACCAAAGCCGTATCTGCTTCTTGGAAGGTGAGTCATGGGAACACGGAGCAGAGAGGAAAGAGCACACGGCAGGAGTTATGTCATTTCTTTCCCCGAAATGATCAGGAGTCGAGGTTGGCCTGAGCATCACGCCCAGTGCGCAGCCTGCTGCCTGACAGAGGGATTGCACCAACCAGCACGGGGGCCTGCTGTTTTCTGTCAAGTCCAGGCCTTTTGGGGGTGAGGCTTTCTCCTGCCACATCTCGTCTTGCTCTCTTGGGATCTAGTCCCTGCCCATTTGCTGGGAAACTCGCCCTGATGGGCATCAGAGATGCCACAGACCCACTGACCCACAGGCCTCCTGAACACCTGCCAGCCCTGCAGCCTTGATACTGCATCTGAGACCTGAGAGCCCAGTGTGGTCCCTCCACCAAGACAGGCCTCCGTCCGGGCTCTACCAGCCCAAGACAGTGGCCATTCAGCCAACGGACATTCAACCCAGCACAACCCTTCGCACGCCCCGGCAGAGTCCCCGAGCAGCAGCCCTGCCAGGCACCCTCCAGAGGCTGAGGGCCCCATACCCTGGGCTGGAAGCCCAGCCACTAGTTCCTTCCGGCCGCCTCCTTCTGAGGCTGGGCCGGTGGGGAGTGAGGCCTGCTTTCACAGGAATGCTTTGTCCCAAGAGCTCTTGCTACCATGGCAACTGGCCACTTTAGAGGTTTCACTTGACCTTCCCCCCTGCAGCCCCACCTCCAGACCGGGGGTCTCTCCTGGGGAGCCCGGCCTGATCACTCCCCTCAGATCCCGGCCACATCTCCTGCCCGGGTTCACAGTGTGCTCCCAGAGGAAGAATCAGAATCATGTTTTTCTCTGAACCTTTGTACGTGGCATAGCTCCTGAATGAAAATCTAAAATTCATTATACATCTATTATGTAGTTGACATTTTCAGCATTTCATTCTCACCGTGATCATTTAAGTATCATCCTTGCCATTTTACAAGGTGGGGAGACCCAGCCCAATTCAGTAATTGGTGCTAGAACTCTCCAGAACTCTGTGACATTCCAGAGTGGGATTTTCCATTGACGTCTATACTGACACATAGTGGGCCCTCCATAAATGGCTGAGAAATCAATAAACACAGGCAAAATGTCTTTAAACGTTATTTACCCACCACTCCATTTCACTTAATATAAATTTCCCAAATTGTAGGGAAAAATGCAAAGAGAATGCAACTGCTCAGATACGGTTACATAATGGCTTTTTAATAATGTCAAATATAAGAGGGTTTTTCTTAAGGCAACCGGATGAATAGCTCCGTCACTCCCAGAGGAATGAAACACGTAGGAACAATTGTCACTTGAAGCAGGAAAAAATTTCTCTACTATCAGTACTTGACCACTGAATTTGGCATCTCCATCTCAGGAGAGGTTCACAGAAGAGAACAGAGAAACCAGCTGTCCTGGTGGATTAGCCAGCAAAATCGGCTTGGTGTCCAAGGGGCTTAAGCATCTTTCCAGTAAGAAGCTGCCTTCGAGAGCTGTCTTTCTTCATCCATCGCTGGCACCTGAGAGCCGAGGTAGCAGGACTGGCGCTTGGAGACAGTGGGTCTTCTTGAAGAAGTGGATTTTGGAGCTGAAGTTTCCGCCACAGACAATGCCCAGTCGCCACGATGCAGGTTGGTTCCAGGCAAAATTGAGATACAGCCGTTTGCATTTGCTTGAAAACGTCAGCCTCCTTTCCCTTGCAAGCCAGCTGCTGTCCCTCCTCTTCTCACCACCCCTTTCCCCATTCTTTCCTTGGATTGAATTCTTCCCCACACACAGTTGTTTTTTTTAATTGAACTATAGTTGATTTACAGTGCTGTGTTAATTTCCGCTGCACAGCAGTGACTCAGTTATACATTTTATATATATATATTCTATATATTCTGTTTCACATTCTTTTCCATTACGGTTTATCACAGGAGATTGAATATAGTCCCCTGTGCTATACAGTAGGACCTTGTTGTCTATCCATTCTCTATATACTAGTTTCCATCTGCTCATCCCAAACTCCCAATCCATCCCTCCCCCACCCGCCTCCCCCTTGGCAACCACAAGTTTGTTCTCTATGTCCATGATTCTGTTCCTGTTTTGTAGATATGTTCATTTGTGTCGTAGTTTAGATTCCACATATAAACCCACACGCGGTTTTTGCTGTTTACATCCTTACCGTGTATATAATTTGCACAGTATATGCCTTTTAAATACCCCCCTTCCAGGGCCCCTCTGGCCTTGTGCTCACTGTGCCGTCTTTCAGCACGGACCAGCCTTCTCTGTGACTGGGAATTCGTCCCATGAACACACCCACTGTGACTCTTCCAGTCGTTTTAGAGTTGGTGCCCTGTAATGCCAGCGGCTCCAGCTTTACACCCGCATCCCAGTACCCTGGGTCACACTCAGGAAAAGCGAAACACAGGCTCTTTCTCTCTCTGGTGATCATTTCATTTTCAAGGCAATTGTTATGCATTTAGTCTTTACTAGAGTAGTACCTTCCAAGAATTCTCATGCTGAGTCGGTAATCAAATTTAGAAGGGATGACACAAAGACCCTCAGAGGCTTTTATCCTGAGCTGAGATCATAATTAAGCTCTGTTACCGAAGTGAATGGTTTGAGATGGATCTGGTAGCAACTGTGCTCCCATTTTGAAGTGAATTTATCTAGTGACGCATGGTTAGGTTTTGAAAGTAGAAAAGATAAGAGGTGTGTCTGCTGCCACAGGCAGGACCCCTGGGAGAGGCCCGTGTTCCCTGCTGGTGTACGTGTGGGCTTCTAATACTAACGCTGCAGCAACACGTTGACTCTAATTGTGAAGAACCTTCCAGAAGCATAAATTGGGGTGAGCTATGAAAAGTCTCACTGTCCCCTGCACATTTACAGGACAGCTAGGAGACACCACGGCAAGTCTTTCTCTGTCCCCTGCCACGGGGCTCTGTGGCCACAAACGACCTTGACTGAGCAACAAGCCAGTGAAACAGAAGCACAGACCCAGAAGCTGGCAGTTGTAGGCTTAGCAATGATAACTCGCTTGTTCTACTGTCCTTGGTATGGCTTTGAATTTGTAACACCTTTATACTGGCAAGTCCCAGCTAGGATCCATTTAATTATTTATAGCTGCTGCTCGATTCAATTCTTATAAGACTGGAACATATGTATAATTATTCTATAGTCAATGGAGCGAGTGAGATAATATCAGGTTGAATACAATGTGAAAAGGCTTTATTACAGGACAGAGAGAAAGGCTTTCTCCGCATTTAAACAAAGTCCACTGCCTGCTCTCAATGCTCCTGTCGCCGGCACAGCTGTCGCCCAACATGAAACAGACAAGCATCTCGAGGCACCGGTGGAACGAAGCACAGAGACTCACAGCAAAGCAAGTGCAGAATTTCAACTACAGCCACACTGGCAGTACCCTCCTGGGTCACAGTTACTGCCTGAGATGATGCAGCCGACTCTTTCAGCCAAGTGGGTCTGCACATCCCAGCATGTAAATGATGGCTTCTCGCTTTGTGTTCATTTAGTAATGGGCGGTACAACTTTGCTATTTGACTCTTTGGTACTGTTTTCAATGTTATTGAACACTTTTTTATTGGAGTAGAGTTAATTTACAATGTTGTGTCAGTTTCAAGTATATAGTAAAGTGATTCATTTATACATCCATCTATATTGGGTTGGCCAAAAAGTTCGTTCGGATTTTTTCGTACAATGTTTTATATATACTTTTTCAGATTCTTTTCCATTATGGGTTATTACAAGATAATGGGTATAGTTCTCTGTGCTATAAAGTAGGGCACTGTTGTTTATCTATTTTATATATAGTAGTGGGTATATGTCAATCCCAAACTCCTAATTTATCCCTCCCCACCCCTTTCCCCTTTGGTAACCATAAGTTTGTTTTCTGTCTGAGAGTCTATTTCTGTTTTGTAAATAAGCTCATTTGTATCATTTTTTAGATTTTGTCTTCCTCTGTCTGACTTACTTCATTTAGTATGATAATCTCTAGGTCTATCCATGTTGCTGCAAATGGCATTATTTCATCCTTTTTTACGGGTTACTGAACACACTTGATGAAGCACTCCACATAATCTACTATTTCTAAAAGCAAATGTTTAAAAAGCGTGAACATCATTTGAAAAGGAAGGACAGTGACGACTTACACGTACAGCCTCACTTGGTTCCCAGGTGTCAGGTAGGTCGGCACCAAATTTTAAATGTCATTTAGTTGCTATCATTTCATTGTGTTTGTTGACTGTTTACTTTCTTTTAATTACCACATTTACTGTCTCTTCAATCTGTGATTAAGCCCAAGACCTAGAAAAAAGGTAAACACGTTGTGAGTTGATTCTTTCATTTTTGTCCTTCAACAAATATTCACTGAGCATTTACTATGTGCAGGACACTCCGCCAGATACTGACGCTCCATAATGAGTCAGGACTGGTCCCGCCCTCAGAGGAGGGTAAGACACAGAAATAAGGACTCAAAGAAGTTGCTGTACATATTGTCATAAAAGCACATGGACAAGGTACCACAAGGGTCAAAAAGAGAAAGCAGTCAGCTCCATCCAGGGTATTCATGGGAGGGTAGTAATGGAGGTGACCCGCTAGATGGGCCTGAAGTATGTGTAGGAGTTCTCCTGGCAGGCTAGGTCAAGGTGAGTTAGGCCAGTGGAAGGAGACAAACGGGAACATGCACATTCTCAGGGACCGTAGGGTGTGACCCCTGAAGTGTCACATGCGCACAGTGAGGTGGCAACGGGGAGGGAGGGGAGCCAGCCCTGCAGGGCGTTACATGCCGTGCCCAACGCTGGGGCCTGAATGTGAAGGGGAGCCTTGGCTGGATTGTGAGCAAAGGACTAGAGCCCTCCCCCTGGCATCCTAAGAAGGAGGGGCTGGCAGTGGTGTGCAAGGTGCCCTGGAGTGGGCGAGACCAGGAGGCGGGACCGGTGAGAGACCATCGCGATGTCCTAAGTGGGCTTAACCCAGGGCCCAAAGAGAAGTGATGGCAAGAAGGCGTGGAACCAGGGGATTTGCTCTTCCTCAAATATGCCGAGAAAGATATAACTCCCTTACTTTTTCTATGACTCATGAGTTACAACCTGGGTAGTAGGGAAAACAAACTTTCTAATTAAAAATAGCACAGTCTCCTAGAGTTTAAATATTGTCTTTAAGTAATCAACTCAAGATTCAACTCCCTATCAGCGCTGGTTGAGATCACCTCTTTTGGATAACTCTATAACTTTGGGGAAATGTAAAGTCTGGGTGGATGAGGGAGACCATCTCTTGCCTGAAGATAAAGGTCTAAAGAGACACACGTTGGCTGCCCCTCACAGCCTCTGCACATCTGGGTCCCATCTGGCTTTTCAAGGCCTCCTGCCTCCGGCCTCCAGGTCCTGGCCAACTGCCTTTTTGCAGCAGAAGGAAAGACGTGCGGTCCTGATCCAGATGCAGGGAGGTGGGCTGAGAAAATGAAGAGATGTGAAAGTTCTCTTCTGGTCAGCTCTGCACTCTGGTTAGATGAAACCAGATTATCCATTAGAAGGAGAAGAGGAAGAGTCACAGGCAAGGGCCAGGAGGACTGAGTGGACCAGAGAACGTGGTCTCCCAACCACGTGCATGAGGGCCCATGGGAGGCTCGTGGGCATGAATTAGAGTTAGATTGGTCAGCCCGTGTGTGTGTTTTTCTCCAGCCGCCCTTAGCCACTCAGTTCAGGTACAGAGTAGACGGACGGTGGATGTAACCAGTGTTTGGGTTTTGCAAGGTAAGTCTGATTCGAAGAGAAAAGGAGAGGGATGGTGATACAGGGAATGATTATAATGATGAAACTGGAATCTAAGCTGGGAATGGAGGGGAAGGAAGATGTGAAGGGGATGAGGGACAACGCAGGCAACAGAACAGGTGAACTGTGGGTCAAAGTATCACTGACGATGGGATGGTAAAGGTGGAGGTGAAAGGAGGTTGTGGCTGGAGACTGGATGCCTGAATGGGGGTATTGTAGGGTGTGACTGCAGTTATTAACAAGGGAGAGCTGTGGTGTCTGGAGTGAGATCTTTGGAGAAGAGGTCAAGGAACTGAGAGACCAGAACACTGAAAGGATGGTGCTCGTGGATGTTCGAATACCAGGAAGAGGGTAACAGTCGTGGTGGAAAGACTGTGATAAGCCAGGGGGGCCCCAGGGGCTGTTGATGACCACAAAGTGTGGGCAGGGACAGGACCCTCACTCTGGGGGCTCTAGAGAAGAGGAAGGGAGAGTCTGGAAGGGGCCATGTTAAGAGAACCACAGTGACCCCACTCCACCCGCGGACTCAGCGTCCGATGTGCAAGAGAAGAAAGAAGGCAGCAGGGAAATAGACCATCAGCATTTGAGCATCAGTACCAAGAAACTTGCTCTTTACCTGAGACATTTCTTCCCTCTTGGCAAACTGCCCTGTTGGCTATTTGTAAAGAGTTTTAAGAGTAATCCTTCTGAGGCTAAAAGACAAAGCGACTTAGATGTGGGCTTTGTGAAGAAGGGCATTATCCCAGCTCCTAGCAAATCTGAGAGTATGGGGCCACTGAGCCATGACTACTGTATTTGGCTCCAGAGGCACAAAATCTAGAGCAGCAGGTCTGAGTTTTCCATTACCACTCAGTCGAGGCTTTGTCGTCAGGAAATAGAATAGGCTGCTTGACAAGTGCACTATTGTTCATATTATATGGGTGGGAAGCTGAGGCTCTTAATTAATCAGGGAATGGGTCATTGATCATTGTAAGTCCCTGGAAGTAGTCATGATCATGTACGAGTCCATGAAATTGATAATTGTCTCTTTCCCTGAAAACGGTCATGATTGCTTATGAATCATTTTGTAATGAATGCTGAATCATTGTTCCCTCGCCTGGGAATGGTGATCAGTGGTTTTGTAGAGATCAGGATTTTCTCAATGTGGAAGCCTTCCAACAGTTTATATCAGCCTCTTTTGAAACAGAGATTTCCAGATTTACATATACCTGGAAGTATAAAGGAGCAATAGGGGAGAAAATTTAACCAAAAGAAAGCCAAACTTTTCAAGCAAAAGTGATTTGAATTCAACACCTAAGGAAACCCGGTGGCAAGGTTACTTTAAGGATAAGAATTCAGTTCATGATATTAAACCTTATTCTCAGCTCTTCCCCCCGCCTGCCCCCCAGCACCATCTTTGTGGGAAGAAAGGAAAAGATGGAGAAGAAGGAAAGTCATTACAAGTATGAATACAGAATCACTGCCAACAGGATTTTTAAATTCACCTCCATTTCCTGGCTTTAATGGTCTCAAGTTAAGGATTAACTTTATCCAGGTTCTTCAAGTTATTGTTTTCCCCAACCTGCTTTCTTGGCTCTGTTGAGTCAAAGAAAGAATCAAAGGGGTTCTTTCAAGTCCCGGCGTCTGTGGTGTGTCTTCAGCAAAAAAGTTTCTCTCGTTCCGCCAGACCTGCTGTTACCCTGGTGTGAAGAGCATCCGTATAAATAAACATGAATTGAAGCTAGCCTGTAGCTGTGTTTTGCAAATGCAGACAATACATCCTGGCAATGTCATAGCATAAACTGCAAAAATGAAAGGTCCGCCAGGAGCATCTTCCTGAAGAGGTGATGTAAATCGTCACTACTGGACATGGTAGTTAACGCACAGCGCCTTGATCAGCCACTGCACAAATGTTTAGTTGGACAGATGCAGGAGGGGAATTGTTTATTCAGCAACTGCACTGGCTTGTTTGGTCAGGCAGCACTTACCTTGGACTGTGCTCAGATCCCCCCACCCCGCTCATGGGAGCTCTGGCTCCCTGCACTTTCCCGGTGCCTGGGAGTCACGGCAGGTGCACTCAGCAAACCTGCCACAGGCAGAAGGATCTGCAGAGTAGTATGGTCAAGTGATTGCCCACTTCATGTTACAATGACAGAAGATTGTCTGCTTTATCAAAAACAGAGTCACCGCACATATCTGTGAATAGCAACTAAAGCAATTCAAAGATGTGTTGTTATTAGGACGATTTGATTGAAATTGTGCAAAATGAAGCATCCTCATGACTAAGGATGTGTCTGCCTTCACATCCCCAGCCCCACGTCAGCGCCACCGGGATCAGAGAAGTGAGTTGAGACTGAGGCTGAATCTCCTGGTCTCCCCGTTCTGCAAACGCATAAGGATCCTTCATTCTTACAAATACTTACCCAGTTAAGACCTCATCATCTTTCTACACAGGGTTTGTTCTAGAATTTGTCTTCAAAAAGGAAACATTTGGGGACTTCCCTGGTGGTGCAGTGGTTGGGAGTCCGCCTGCCGATGCGGGGGACACGGGTTCGTGCCCCAGTCCGGGAGGATCCCACATGCCGCGGTGCGGCTGGTCACGTGAGCCATGGCTGCTGAGCCTGCGCTCCGCGGCTGCAGAGGCCGCGGCGGTGAGAGGCCCGCGTACCGCAAAAAAAAAAAAAAAAAAAAAAAGGAAACATTTGGTTTGGGGTCGCTTCTGCCTCTCTTCATCGGCTCTCCTTCCTCTTGCCACTCTCCCTTCAGCTCTCACAGCCCCCCTGACTGTCCCCCTACCAACCCACAGGGACCACCATGTGGGTCTGCCCCCACCTCCCTCCAGGACCCTTGCTGGCCCTTCAAAACCTACCGTTCCTCTGTCAAATTCTTCCAGTCTGAGTCTATAAGACTAATTTTGGAACAAATCCTGTGTAAGATTAAGGGATGATCATTTCTCACAGCATGACCCCTTTCATGTAACATATTTCCAGCCCAACGACTGGAAACTCAGAGTCCCACACATGTGTTGCTATCTCTCCTTCCGCTCCCAGGACAGATGAAGACTGGCCCATCGGTAACAAAAGAGGACACTCCTGAGGGTCATCAGCTCTAAAGAAGAGTCTGAAGATGTGGGGCACATGTGTCAGGTCACCTGCAAATGGTTTCCTGTCCCGGACTAGACTGTGAGAGAGTAAAGTCTCCATCAGACTTGTTACTCCAGTCCAGATGAAGGAAAGTTAATTCTAGAGGAAGCAGCCTCCACAGAACAGACTGTCATGTCTAACATGAGGATGGAGCTCCATGGGTTAGAAGTTCAGAACAACCTCAGAGAGATGACTTAAACACTCCACTTTCACCAATGGACAGATCATCCAAAATGAAAATAAATAAGGAAACACAAGCTTTAAATGATACATTAAACAAGATGGACTCAATTAATATTTATAGGACATTCCATCCAAAAACAACAGAATACACTTTCTTCTCAAGTGCTCATGGAACATTCTCCAGGATAGATCATATCTTGGGTCACAAATCAAGCCTTGGTAAATTTAATAAAATTGAAATCATTTCAAGTATCTTTTCCAACCACAACGCTTTGAGACTAGATATCAATTACAGGAAAAAATCTGTAAAAAATACAGACACATGGAGGCTAAACAATACACTACTAAATAACCAAGAGATCACTGAAGAAATCAAAGAGGAAATCAAAAAATACATAGAAACAAATGACAATGAAAACACGATGACCCAAAACCTATGGGATGTGGCAAAAGCAGTTGTAAGAGGGAAGTTTATAGCAATACAATCCTACCTCAAGAAACAAGAAACATCTCAAATAAACAACCTAACCTGATACCTCACGCAATTAGAGAAAGAAGAACAACAAAAAAAAAAAAAAAAGTTAGCAGGAGGAAAGAAATCATAAAGATCAAATCAGAAATAAATGAAAAAGAAATGAAGGAAACAATAGCAAAGATCAATAAAACTAAAAGCTGGTTCTTTGAGAAGATAAACAAAATAGATAAACCACTAGCCAGACTCATCAAGAAAAAAAGGGAGAAGACTCAAATCAATAGAATTAGAAATGAAAAAGGAGAAGTAACAACTGACACTGCAGAAATACAAAGGATCATGAGACATTACTACAAGCAACTCTATGCCAATAAAATGGACAACCTGGAAGAA